GACTCGCAAGAAGATAATTACCGATCAGAAAGAAATATTATGTATAAATCATTTTATTATCTACCCTTTCTCGTTAAAATAAGGGAAGGTGGATGCCAGTATTTTGCTTAACTCATCAATATTCATATTCTCATTCGCATTACATCTTATATCTGATATAACTATAGATTGTCCCTTAAATTATCTTTTAGGGTTGTTAATTATGATAAAATGATATATAAGGGTAGAAAAACATAAATATTTATTTTTATTTGGAATCGAATATTAAAGTATGAGACAACTCAGTAAAGTTATCTAAGAAACAATTCGTGAACATCATAAGACGCCAGTTATTCTAACTAAAGTATTGTTTGGAATTTAACCTACTTGCAAACAAAGAATAAGACAACTGAAAGTTAATTTTTTTGAAATAATGAATATAATTCTGCACTATTTAAAGCAATTCTACCATTGTATCCACCAGTAACTAATACTAGTCCATTTGATAATACAGATGCTGTGTGCTGACCGCGTGCATTGGTCATGTTACCAGTATTTGCCCAAGTACTTGTTGATGGATCATACAGCTCAGCACTAATAAGAGCACCGTTGTGAGCTCCACCAGTGACTAACACTAGTCCATTTGATAATTCAGATGCTGTGTGATAAGCTCGTGCACTAGTCATGTTACCAGTGGTTGTCCAAATACCTGTTGATGGATCATACAATTCAACACTATTTAAAGCACTAAATTCAATGCCTGCTCCACCAGTAACTAATACTTTTCCATTTGATAATACAGATGCTATGTGATAAACTCGTACATCATTCATGTTACCAGTAGATGTCCAGTTACCTGTTGATGGATCATACAGCTCGGCACTATTATAAGCAATATTATCATTGTCTCCACCAGTAACTAATACGTTCCCATTTGTTAATACAGATGCTGTATGTTCTCGTCGTGCATCGCTCATATTGCCAGTAGTTGACCAGGTACCTGCTGATGGATCATACAGTTCAGCACTATATAAAAAAATATTACCAATGCTTACACCACCAGTAACTAATACTAGCTCATTTGTTAATACAGATGTTGTATGCAAATCTCGTGCATTAGTCATGCTACCAGTAGTTGTCCAAATGCCTCTTGATGGATCATACAATTCAGCACTATTTAAACGACCATTATCATTGACTCCACCAGTAACTAATACTTTTCCATTTAATAATACAGATGCTGTGTGATGCTCTCGTGCATCAATCATACTGCCAGTAGTTGTCCAAGTGCTTGTTGATAGATCATACAGTTCAGCACTATTCAAAAAACCAATATTGTGATTGAGTCCACCTGTAACTAATACTTTTCCATTTGATAATACAGATGCTGTGTGTTCTTGTCGTGCATTACTCATATTACTGGTAATAGACCATTCTAGACAGAAACATTAGATCGTATTCATTCTCAAAAGACTGTCTCTTGTGGAACTCTCAAAATGATGAAATCATGTGCGGAAAGTTTTAGATTTTGTAAAATAAAAATCGTTTCTTGCTTTTGATACAAAGTTTTTCGAACTATTTTCAGAATACAAAGAGTCTTAAGTTTGTTGTAAAAAATCATTCTTGATACGGTACAGAAGTAAGTTTCACGTTTTTGATAAAAAATCGTATACGAGGATGACATATGCAACAGGTTTGTATTTTATACTTTTCGTTACAATGTTTACAAGAATCAATGCACTTTTTATTATATGTAGCTTCTATTGATGACAGTCACTTAATCAAACTCCCTAGGTAAAGCAAAAGCGATCCTTATTGCTTTTTCCGGTTCGTTTCCTACGAATTTTCGCAGTTCGAAACGGTGTCTAGATACGGTTGCATTTACAGCACCATTCCAGACTAAGAAATGCGGTGATTTATCATGACCAAAGAATATAGACCATACCTTATCGTGTTCGAAACCTGAACTCTGACTTATGCAGGGAGCAGAAGAATGAATCAAAGTTGACGAATGAACTAACAAATAATACGCAAATACAACTATTTATATTTACACACAGAAGAGAAAGAATGAGAATTGACAAGCATTTCCATGCGCGAAAATACCGTGCGTGACAGATATGCGTACGCTTCTTTGTGACAAAATGATTTTTTTTTATTCTCTTTTCAGTTAAAAGTACCATTTAGGGAGGGTGGAAAACGTTACTGTGAAGCTTACCTGACTGCTGAGTTGTGGTCGTAGTTGTTGTTTGTGGTAAAGTTGTGGTCGATGTCACTAATGATGTTATTGTTGATGATAATGGTGGTGTTGATATTGTTGTTGTTAGTGATGACAATGATGTTGCGGGAGTGGTACTAGTTTCTAATTTGTGCGGTGCAAAAACGACGAAGTTTAACAACAGAGCAAGGATAAGAGCAAAAACTATTAAAACAATAACGGAAATGCCGATTATTTTAAACCGACGGTGATGCCACCATTTGTGTGGTCCATTATTTACAATAACACGCTCTCTATAAACTTTGTTGGTTTGCATATTATGTTTCAGACGAAACTCAAGCGCAAAAAAAAGAGCACACTATTGTTTGAAGCTGCTTTCTGTTTGTCTATTACTCTCACGTAAGTAACAGAAGATGATTAATATTATCTCCAACATCAAAGGTGTTGTTATACTCTTATCTTAAT